TCTAGAATTGTACAATAACACTTTCTGGCTAACTTCAAACTCTCGCCTCTGAATGTTTAAATCATGCCATCTCTTGGTGTGCTCCTTGATCAACTTTGAGTTCTCGTAAGCTTCCATTCTCATCTCATCCAATTCATTAAGTTGCAGCAGTCGTTTTTCACTAGCAGCCTTGAGATCCATATTCAATTGTTTCATAGCCCAATATGCTTGGTGCTCCAACTCCAATGGTAGATGACATGCTTTCCCAAACACTGGGCCGTATGGAGACATTCCTATTGGTGTCTTAAACGATGTTCTGTAAGCCCACAGTGTATCGTCCAACTTCTTATACCAATCTTTTCGGGATGAGTTCACTGTAACTTCCAGTATTCTCTTTAACTGCCTGTTCGAAACTTNTTGATAATAATGCCAATGATGTGAATAATGATAAGTGTGTTGGTGATTGATTGTGTGTGAAGGTGGATTGGGGAGGGGGGGAATGGGGTGTTCGTGTGAGAGTGACTTCGGGGGAGGGGGGGAAGAAAAAATAGGTTGTTTTAGCAAGTGACGGGTTAATAACCCGTCACTTATACACCATGCGGCTGCATGGTGTAGCATTGTTGAGCCAGTTAGGTTTCTGTTAGGGCCCATGCAGTCGCATGGACCCCTTGTCCATGCGGCCGCATGGACAAAGCCAATTTTTTTTTTCAAACTAAAGCAAACTTACAATTATAACCCCAAACACACCTTGAAATTTAAAAATCCCCCGAAATTGGTTTTTAATTTCAAAATTGACTCGACTGGCCATATTCCGAATTTTATTTTTTTTTGGAAAAAATCTCGAAAAATAAAACGAACAACTTTGAACCACGAAATTCTTTACTTCACACTCAAACACCCAAAACACTTTCTTTAACCCCTGACTCATGCAACTATAAACGTGTAGTGCCTAGACTATCATGCGTGAATGATCGATGACCTAATAAAACATACGAAATGTAAACAAGTTTCTAAACAAATGCAATAAAATAAAATAAATTGAAGGATATAGTGGGTTGCCTCCCACCCAGCGCTAGTTTATAGTCGATAGCTCGACTTTCCT